TCTGTGTCCCTTTCAAGAAAGTTAACATCATTCCTGTTCTGTAGCTCAGCTCTCAGAAGCAAGTGCTGCTGCATCTGTAATGTTACACCCTGGATACAGGTGTTACATGTAACATGTTATAAAAGGTAAATTTATCCTTAAAAGACAAACTTTGTTGCAGATTCCTACCAGTTTTTGCTCTTAACCATTTCAAGTCCGGACTGTTTGACCCCAGGCCATTTTTCAGTTTTCAGCGCTGTACTTTGTATGACAATTATGCCATGCAACACTGTACTCAAATTAAATTTAGATAATTTTTTGAGATAGATAGAACTTTCGTTTGGTGGTGTTTAATCACTGATGGGTTTTAAAACTTTTTGCTATATAAATGTAGTGTTACCCTCTTGAGAGCCACTGGTTTTGGGTCCCCCTATTTTCCTGCACAGCCAGGCACATGCATTTTCCATATTTGCATCCAAAGTCAGAAATCAGTCCATGAGCTTGTTTTTGTTGTTTTATTGAGGGTTAGCAACTAGGATGGGGTCTAGGGGTATATGGGAGGCCCAATGGAACTGAAACAACTGAGAGGACAAACTTCTTATATACAAAAAACAGAAAATAAAATTTGATCAGCACACAGTCTTTCCTAGGAGCACTTAGTCTTCTTAAATAAAACTTCTTTAGACCCCAGTTGAAAATCTCCTCATCTTTCCCAGCTGACAGGCTGTCCTTTCCTGTAGACTGTGGAGCAGTAGAGGTCCCTCTTTCCAGCTCACAGCCTGTAGGTAGACCCCGTTCTTCTGGGGCCCCCTCCCAAGGCTCCACACCAGCAGCACTTTCTCACTCCATCGTCCACCCTACTCCCCTGCTGACTAGGCTCTCTTATATTTATGGGCTGATTTGCCACACTGCCAGGCCTCCTGCCTGGAATTGGTCAGACTCCCACAAATATGCAGAACAGCCCCTCCTCTCCTCCACCTACTGGCTTCTAGAAACTTCTCCTCGTCTCTGGAGTAGGGGGAGATACCAGAGGACTGACCTGTAGAGCCCTCCAGCCTTAACCTAAAGTACCGTTGCTGACTCATTCCCAGGCTGAATTACACTCAGGCTTCTAGCAAGCCTCTAATTATACACAAAAAAACCTGTCTGCACTAAAGGGCATTACATAAACTAAAAAAAAAAAAATGTTGAAAAAAATCATGTTTTTATTAGTTATTGTTATAAAATTTTGCAAATAAATAATCTAGCTTCATAAATTTAGCCCATGTATGTAATGTATTTGTCTACATTTTTTGGTAAAAAATAACCCAAATCAATGTATATTATTTAGTCTGTGTAAAGTTATGGAGTATACAAACTGTGGGATAGATATTTGAAAATTGATCAGTCCTAAGGTATTGACTGCCTGTCTCTTTGTTGAAGCCCTAAAATGCCAGGACAGTAAAAATAATCCCAAATTAACCCTTTTTGGAAAGTAGACAGTCCAAGAGGCACGGTAAGAAGAAAAACAAAGGAAATGCTCCCCTAGCATAAAACCTTCTTTTATTAAGGACAAACATAAAAAATCCAATGCATTCACATGTTCCAAATGTAAACACGCCTGTCACAATGAGTTGGTGGTCTGTATCATTCTGGTCCATCCATCCCTCCTGACTGAGCCAGAGTATGCACAGAGGAAAAGACAAGATGGGCAAGCAGAAGCCGCTGTATCGGCATACAACACCAGTGGAATTCTTTTAAAACTTACCCTATGATTGCTTATACAGTGAAGATCACTGTATACTCAATAGTTTTAGCAGTCATGAATGGATTAACCATTTATTAACAGCTCACTTGTGGTTGTGATCTGTAATTGGCTACAGCTAATAACATGGTATAGGTAGCCAGGTACCATGTGATTGCTCGGAGCCAATCACAGATCACAACAGTAAGCAAGCTGTTCATGAATGGAAAGTCATTCATAGTTTTTTTGCCTTCCTCTGGATCAACTTTGGGTGTAGGATTATAATTTATTTTTTTTTAATGGTTGAACTGGATGGACTTTTGTCTTTTTTTCAGCCAGACTAACTATGTAACTATATGACAGGTTGTTTACATTGTTATCATAATCATAGCAGTCACATGATACCTGGTTACCGATTACTGGTAGCTAATATCCGCTATGTCCAGTGGACACAGTGGTCACAAGAAGGCGTGCTGTGCGCTCCCAACCTGAGCAGACACAGTGACATACATGTACGTCATTGTGCCTGCATGTACCGCCCTGCCGCAGCATTTTTACTGTGCGCGAGTCAGCAAGTGGTTAATAAGATATTTCTAAAACTTCATAGATATATCTAAGAATTACACTCAACACACATGGTGTACACACACACACACATACATGTACATACACGCAGACACATGTACAGATACACACAGACACATGTACATGCATACACAGACACACACAGATACATGTACATACACACACACACGGACACAGCCCTATAAAAAGTTGCAGTAGTTTGTTACCTTCACTCACAGAGCCTGGTACTGCACTCTAGGGAGAGACAGAGAGCACAGCACACACTCCTTTCTTTGATTTCACTTTCCTCAGCTATTGAGCAGTCTGACGGCTCCCAGTGCGAGCAACAGATCCCGCCCTGAGGACACACTCGCCCCCACCATAATTTCCAGCTGGCGAGTGGAAATTTCAAGGCCTGCAGTACATCATTAAAAAGATTCTGTTAAACACATACAAAATAAATATCCAAATGCTTCAAAATACATCTAAGAGAAATTCAAATTACTTATTAAATTCTAATGTTGTGGTGTAATCCAACACTGATTCAGTGGTATGCCCCATAGTTGATTTTCATCTTATAACCTTTGAATTTTGATTTTAGATACATTTAGCCTGGGAACTAACGCGTTTTGAATATTTATCATAAATTCTTCTTCAGGGATATGATACCACTCTAAAATATAAAGTAATAGTTGATAGTCAAATGTAACAAGATTTTTTTATATATACATTGGTAATACAAAACCATAGCATATTGGGGTAAAAATAACTTACATAACCACCATAGATATTCTAAAGAGTGGCTCATTATGTGAAGAGATAAATCCCCTCTAGGAGAGCAGTCATCATTCTGATATGCAAGGACCACAAATGCCACACCACATCACTGCCATGACAGAAAGTAAGTATATATGACAATTAGTAATAAGGGAAAAAGGAACACAAATTACAAAGAAGTCAAAGGGAAGCAACATTACCATAAACTGGCTACATACATATTTTACCTTTTGCCCTTCCCACCAACTGGCACTACGCAAGGGTCTAGATCTAGACATTGAGAATGCCCCACAATATGCCAAATAGTGAAACATAGATGTTCAAACATTCTATTAGCACGTACTAAGTCAACAAGTCGCCATAAATGCAAGCAGCCAACATTCATGCTCCCAGCTTACCAATAGTTGTAATGAAGTGAATTTACATTACTTTAAAAAGTTCAACAGCATGAAACAATAGCTCCAGCTATTTTTTGTTTCTCCACTTTTTTGTGTCATACCAATACAAACAAAAGAAATGAACATGAGACTGCCTAAACGTTTGTAATTGCAACAATTTTCTGGGCAAAGTGATGCATTATCTGACAGAAATGCAGGGGTGCCAATATTTTTGGCCATGACTATATTCTTTTTTATTTTTATTTATGACTATATTTTATAATCTATATATTTTTTTTTCGCAAAAAAGTGAGATTGACCTTTAAACACACACACACACACTTACGATAACAAAAGGTAAAGTGGAAGATTAGAATAGAAATGGTGGATTGTCTTACATTTTATGGTTTACAGCCGCTGTCAAGCCAAATATTTCAGATAAATGTATCTCCCCATGTCTATAGGATCTAAGTGTGTTTTACATGAATCCTTACATGTTGTTGGAAGCATACAATTTAATATGATTATATGTCCTCTCTTCCCCCCCCCCCCAGTTACTGATGTACAGTTGATTGCCACTTCTACTGCTAAAGAAGCAACTGTATTGTCAAAAGAAGTATTTTCAAAGTCAGAATGGGATCTCAAGCAAATAGATATTATGCATTTGAATGTCTCTAAAAATGGGGAAGAATGGAGTAGGGTCATTTATCAGGTAACACCAATGTAATTTATCCACTGTAAATCTAGACATAGTTCTCCCTACTTGTTATAACTGTAATGTTTTTTTCTTTAACAGCACTGTAGTAGATTGGTTTACAAATAAATAAATATATATATATACACACACTATATTGCCAAAAGTATTGGTCAGCCTGCCTTTACACGCACTTGAACTTTAATGGCATCCCAGTCTTAGTCTGTAGGATTCAATATTGAGTTGGCCCGCCCTTTGCAGCTATAACAGCTTCAACTCTTCTGGGAAGGACGTCCACAAGGTTTAGGAGGGTGTCTATGGGAATGTTTGACTGCATTGTGAGGTCAGGCAATGATGTCGGCCGAGAAGGCCTGGCTCGCAGTCTCCGCTCTAATTCATCCCAAAGGTGTTCTTTTGGGTTGAGGTCAGGACTCTGTGCAAGCCAGTCAAGTTCCTCCACCCCAAACTCGCTCATCCATGTCTTTATGGACCTTGTTTTGTGCGCTGGTGCGCAGTTATCTTGGAACAGGAAGGGGCCATCCCCAAACTGTTCCCACAAAGTTGGGAGCATGAAATTGTCCAAAATGTCTTGTTATGCTGACGCCTTAAGAATTTTCTTCACTGGAACTAAGGGGCCAAGCCCAACCCCTGAAAAACAACCTCACACCATAATCCCCCCTCCACCAAACATTACACTTGGCACAATGCAGTCAGGCAAGTACTGTTCTCCTGGCAACTGCCAAACCCAGACATGTCCATCGGATTACCAGGCAGAGAAGCATGATTCGTCACTCCAGAGAACATGTCTCCACTGCTCCATTGTCCAGTGGCGGAATGCTTTACACCACTACATCTGACGCTTTGCATTGCACTTGGTGATGTAAGGCTTTAATGCAGCTGCTCGGACATGGAAACCTATACCATGAAGCTCTCCGTGCACTGTAGTTGTGCTAATCTGAAGGCCACACGAAGTTTGGAGGTCTTTAGCTATTGCCTTTGCAGCCAGTTGGGAAGTTCTGCGCACTGTGTACTTCAACATTTGCTGACCCTGCTCTGTCATTTTGCGTGGTCTACCACTTCATGGCTGAGTTGCTGTTGTTTCCAGTTGCTTCCACTTTGTTATAATACCACTAACAGTTGACCGTGGAATATTTAGTAGCAAGGAAATTTCACTGATTGACTTATTACACAGGTGACCACCTATCACGGTACCACTCTTGAATTCACTGAGCTCCTGAGAGCGGCCCATTCTTTCACAAATGTTTGCAGAAGCAGTCTGCATGCCTAGGTGCTTGATTTTATACACCTGTGGCCATGGAGGTGATTGGAACACCTGAATCCAATGATTTGGAGGGCTGTCCCAATACTTTTGTCAATATATATATATATATATATCCACAGTATATGTACATGGATTCTATAGTGTTGTAGTTAAAAGGTATGCCCCCCTTTCAAATAATTGTCTATTCTGTTTTCAAAGTACCCTTGTGGGTTCTGGTACCTTCCCAGCTTATTTGTTTCGGGACTCTGACAAGGAGTTATATCCCTGCTATGGAAAAGCAGAAGGAGTTAAGTCAGAAAACGCATGAGGTCCATGTGCCCGGTGGGATCACATTCAGTCACTGGGTGTGAGGTGGCAGAGGTACGCTGGATGGGTGTAGTCAGCAAGTGCTTAGAGGTGTTCCTCCTGAATGCAACAAGAAAGGTGTGTAGAAGACGGGTCAGCACATCTTGCAAAGGGACTCTATACATTTTATTTTACATTTTACATTTTATTTTACTGCTCACCTTTAAGCCGGGGTATCGCCATAATGTTTGACTTGGAAATGAAGAAAGTTTTGGTCGCACACCAGAGGTATGATGAAAAACCACCATGACTAAGTTAGCATTGTCCTTGTGCTATTCATGTCCTTTTATGGATCAATAAATAATCTTCACTTTTTCTTCCTTTCCATGTTGACTTGGTGGCAAGCCAGGGTCTGCACCTGCGTTGGGTTTGATATCGATTAAATATATAGGGAGTAAGAGATGGAGACAAAATAGCTCTCCATATCCTTGTGGGTAGGGTTTTACTGGTACCCGCCCCCCCTAATGGAAAATGTATTAGATAGGACACTAACCAAGAAAAGCTAATGGGGCTTTTAAGGTACCTAGCCATATAAATCAACATTGATTATACAAAAATATATAAAGACAGTTAATAAAATTGAACACCTTTAATTAGGTTAAAAAAAACACCAACAGGTGGAACATGACCTTAATGTTTGATGGTCATGTTCCACCTGTTGGTGCTTTTTTTAACCTAATAAAAGGTGTTCAGTCTTATTAACTGTCTTTACATATTTTTGTATAATCAATGTTGATTTATATGGTTTGGTACCTTAAAAGCCCCATTAGTTTTTCTTGGTTAGGGTCATATCTAATACATTTGATATTGATTGTTTTACCTGAATGGTATATCTTTTCTTTATTGGATAATGTTTGACTTCACATGAACATGGTCCACGCCTGGTTCCGGACATTGGTGAGTACGTACAGGGTTACTCCATGTGCAGGGTGAGTGGCTCCGCCCACATGCAGATTATTGGTTGGTATCTAAATCAGATGACTAATATCATAGCTGATCACATGTGCAGCACCATGGTAACTGCAGATCAGAAAGAGGCTTAAATGCCAGTTTTCTTGGCTGTAAAGGATAGGAGGGTTTATTACCTCTATACATAAAACTGCTTTTAATGTCCTTATAGACAAAACAAACATTTCCCCTTAAGAATGTGGGGGGGGGGGTTCACTGTGGATTTTCCCTTGAATTCAGCTTTAAAAGTTACATTTTATGGTGTCTCTTAGGCAGAGGCACCCCTAGGCAGGTGCGGGGGGTGACACCTACCGCATGGGGTGACACCGGACCCGCTGAATGAAAAGGTAAGTTGTAAAGCAAGCCGATGATCCCCGCAATATGGATTGGATCTGTGGATTGAGCATAATGGATTGGAGTCCGATCCATTATGCTCCCCAATCTGCAGATCCGATCCATCCTGCGGGGATCGTCGGCTTGCTTTACAACTTACCTTTTCATGGAGCGGGTCCAGTGCAGGGGCGGACTGACAACTCATGGGGCCCCCGGGCAATAGGGGATTCATGGGGCCCCTGTGTCCTTGCCCTCAGTCAAACCACACCCAAAAAAGACTATGAAAGGTACCAGGGGCATCTCATGGGGTCCCCTACTGACCCCGGGCCCTTGGGCAGTGCCCGAGTTTCCAAATGGTCAGTCCGCCCCTGGTCCAGTGTCACCCCATATAGGTTGCATGCCGAAGATCCCCACAGGGTGGATCGGATCTGCACATTGGGGAGCATAATGGATTGGACTCCGATCCGTTATGCTCAATCCACAGATCCGATCCATCCTGCGGGGATCATCGGCATGGAACCTATACGGGGTGACACCGGACCCGCTCCACAAAAAGGTAAGTTGTAAAGCAAGCCGACGATCCCCGCAGGATGGATCGGATCTGCGGATTGAGCATAATGGATTAGAGTCCGATCCATTAAGTTCAATCCGCAGATCTGATCCATTCTGCGGGGATCATCAGAGGGGGTGTCACCAAGTGTTATCGCACCAGGTTACACCAACCCTAGGGACGCCCCTGCCCTTTTGTCTCTTTAGTGATCCCCTGCGTCCTCTTGTTCCTACAATGCTGACTCCAACCTATCTTTGTATTGGAGAAAATTAAGCAGGCTTAACATGTACTGCTTTTGCCATGTTACTTTACATTGTTAACCTTGTATTACCATCAGCTAGTACTGTTTCTTCAAATTCAGTAAATACTTGATTTTCTATTTGCAGATCATGTTAAGGAGAGCTCCCATTCTATATGTCATTAACCTGATTATACCGGCCTGTTTGCTTGTGGTGGTAGACATATCAAGTATGTTTATTCCCATGGAGGGTGGAGAGCGCCTAGGATTTAAGATAACCATTGTGCTTGGCTTCTCTGTGCTTCTGTTGATTCTAAATGATTTCCTGCCTAACACAGACAATCCACCTATACTGGGTATGTATACTGGGTATGTCTGACAATATATAAGTAAATGGGCAATTGTTTAACATGTCTTCTCATTTTCTTGTATAACTTATCTACTCAATTTCTTTATGAATTTGAGAAGTCGTTAATAGACTACTTGTTTACATTCCATTTGTTCTCAAATGAATAAAGACTATATGGATATCATATACTATGTTACAAAAAGAAGCAAAAAGTGCCATCTAAACAAAATGACCAGTCTCCTTTATATGAGAAAATGTAAATTTTTTAAAATTTATTAACAAAATGTTAAACCTTCAAGACTAGTAGTGATGAAGGAAACAGCAGAGGGCACCACCTAAGTGTAGTATATAGGAAAAGACTTTATTAAAGTGTTACTAAACCCACAACAGTAAAGTCAGTCTGTATATGCAGTAAAGCATGCTTGTTATACCCACTGTGGAACCTAAGGGGTTAATTGTCCACATTGTGTAAAAAGGCTGTTTGATCCTGTCTTCTATTTTTCTTTTACTATCCCCAATCCATGTGCTGATAGTACAGAGCTCTAAGAGCCACTCCATGCATGATCAGTTTACTGTGTATTGCTAGAGTTTTTTATTTCATGCACAGGGCACAGGGCCAATCAGCGCTGTCCAGACAGAGGGTCAAGGGGTCATAGGACTGAGGAGAATGAAAACTCCTCCTAGAAGATTAACCGGTGCTCAGCCAGACACTGACAGAAGTCACAAGACTGCTATATACAGCTGATGAGAAAAGATATTTAGTAGTTTATTTACTGAAATAATTGCATTTCCATGTTTTGTGTACTGTGGGAGATTGGATATAGTGAATACAGGGTCCTGGGTTTAGTAACACTTTAAAAAACACAAGGGACAACTCAAGAGATGCATAGGGATTAGAGCATGTAATCCACCTAGTGTGGTTTGCTGTCGAGTTTTAGTGTGTCTTCAGGAGCTAGGAAGCAGATGCAGCTGTCAGAAGCTGTGAAGAACGTCAGAAACAAAGCTGGAAATCCTGAAACTACTCTGGAGCACTTTGTGCAGGACTGGAACTGACGTCACACGTGGGGGGGGGGGGGTTGTGGATAACGCGGCTACATGTTTCGGAGTGCAACTGCTCCTTTTCAAGCCTCAAGTAAGCTGATGGTTTTGCTTTAGTGTTTTAGCGCTATCCATCATCTTCTTTTTGTAACTATGGAGTCTGTAAAATCTCACTTTCATTACAGAAATGCTAAAAAACATAAAGAAAGCATAAATAACAATATAACAGCTGGTGCTAACAGTGCAGCATATTTGTTGGGGCTAACAGTGCACAACTTTGATGAGACATACTGTATCACTTCTTTTTCTCAGTATTTTGCATTTTGGTAAATTCCACTTCTGTTCATATTCACTGCAATGGAAATGTAATATTCTCTTTACAGTGTTTTATATAATATACAGTTGTGACCAAAATTATTCAACCCCCAATGCTGTAAAGGGGTTTAGGGACTATAGTGTACATTTGGAATTGTATTCAGAATCAAATCCTACAAGGACGTTGTAACTACCCAAATGCAACTAAAATGACATCAAGTTTATGTAATACAGTAGTAAATGGTTCTTATGTGGTTTCTTCATTGCCACAATTATTCAACCCCTTAAAGACTACCACTCTGAAGAACAGAGGTTCATACAGGTGCTTTCCATCAGGTATTGAAAACACCTGTGGATGTCACCGAGCAGCAATCAAGCATAATAAGCACCAATTAGGCAGCTTTAAAATGACTGTGATACTCAGCTCCTTCTAGACATTTACTGGTGTGGTTACAAACATGGTGAAGGCAAGAGAATGGTCCAGGAAGACAAGAGAAGAGGTGATTTCTCTTCACAGGAAGGGCAATGGCTATAAGAAGATTGCAAAGATGTTAAACATACCAAGAGACACCTTAGGAAGCATCATTCGCAAATTCAAGGCAAAGGGCACTGTTGAAACGCTACCTGGTCGTGGCAGAAAGAAGATGCTGACTTCGACTGTGTGCGCTACCTGTGAAAATGCGTAGAGTGGAGAGAAGTCCCCGTGTGACTGCTGAGGAACTGAGAAAAGATTTGTCAGATGTGGGTACAGAAGTTTCAGCCCAGACAATAAGACGCACACTGCGTAATGAAGGCCTCCGTGCCAGAACTCCCAGGCGTTACCCCCTTGCTGTCTCTCAAAGAATAAGAAGAGTCGACTGCAGTATGCCAAAAAGCCATGTGGA